CAGAAATGGTGTAGGGTCTCCTGCTTGGGCAAGGTTTTGGACTAGATGACCTATAAGGTCCCTTCCAACTCTGTTATTCTGTTAAGTTCTGTTCCTCCATTTGAGTGATACTGTGGATGTCCTATCCCAATGACTGGAGGATGTTGAGGACTAGATGTGTGAAATAGCTCTGACTCAAACCTAGCAAGAAGGAATACTTGTGGGTATTTGGGCCTCCCTGGAGACGAGGGCTGGTCTTTTGTCTCATTTGGTGCAACTCTGTATTTCAAAAAGGAATGTCAGTCTCTTAAAAACTTCAAATCATACCTGGGAAGGAGTCCAGGGGCAGATATGCACTGGTGTGGTGGCCAGTGCAGACCAAAACTGCATCAAAAACTGATGATTCCTGCTTCCCATCTGATTCTGTGGTAACATCCCATTGGCCACTGGTAGAGAAATCTGAGCATTTTGTTACGCTGCAGACTTTAGTCTGAAAGCAGAAGTCAGGAAAAGAATAAATCAACGCATAGTTATTTATTTGCTCAGAAAATCTTTCTCCCTCTAGAAAACTGTAGACATAATAACTAACCTCTATCGACCTCACCACATTCCTAAGAGGTCTGTAAAGGGCATGCATAAGGGAACAATCATGCCTACCACCCCTGTCCTATTGTCCCCAATTATTAGTTCCTAGTCATGTTTTAAACTTATGTTTATTCTTATTTCTATTATATTGTAAGTGTTTGACAAAATGAATAAAATAAATAAATACATAAAAATAATAGGATTTATTAGAGAAGGGCCTGGGGATTACTTTCTAGTTACTTTCCAATAAAAATTAAACCCAAAGATTAAATTTCAGAGGAGTCTGCTTAAATAAATAGGTTAAAGGGTTAGAAAGCTGGGTCTTAACATTTTTGTCCTAAAATCCAAGTAGTGTGGAGTACCATATTTCTGATGGAAACATATCCTGCAGTGTGGAAATGACACTGCACAAAACTCTTTCACCGCACCTGAAAAACAGGTCTCTGCATGTATTGGTTTAATCTTACATACCTTAATAAATGAACAAAATATTAAGAGAGATAATCTCTAGTAAACTTCTGGATCTCTTGCATAAGATTTAAATAAAAGTGTGGGTGTGCTTTAGAAGCAAATTTGATTGGAATTTTCTACTCACCTTGGCTAAGCAAGCAACCAAGCAAGCAGGTTACACATGGAAGGGAACCCCATATGTTGCTTGTGCTCAGGAGTAGGGGTGGGATTCTATCGGTTCGCACCTATTCACTAGAACCGGTTATTAATATTCTAAGCAGTTCGAAGAACTGGTTGTTAGAAGAAATTACTGGCCTAATCCTGTAAGGAAGGCAGGAAGGAAACATTCTGGTGTTGCTTACAGAAACTGCCTCTCCATTAACCCTTATTACATTCTTGGCAGGACTAGACTTCCTGTCTCAGGAATTTCTCTGGAGTCTTTTTCACCTCCTTAGCTGGTACTTTGCTTGTGTGGAGTGACCATTTAAAGTTACAATGGCACTGAAAAAAGTGACATGACCATTTTTCACACTTACGACTGTTGCAGCATCCCCACAGTCATGAGAGGCCAGGCAAGGAGATGCGTGCCATGATGTGAGTGATGTTGAGTTGGCTATGCCCAGCCAATAACATGGCCACCAAGCCACGCCCACCAACTAAGCCACACCCACAGAACCAGTTGTTAAAAAAATTGAATCCCACCCCTACTCAGGAGCAGTGTATGTGACCACTCTAACTTCCTATGGCTGGCAGAGAAATCTGAAGACATTTAGAAACAAAACTATGCTTAATCCTAAGGTAGGACAAGTATCAGTGGTTTAAAAAATTATATGAATGTGGTTCAAGTCTAAAAATTAAGCAGAACTTCCTGACTTTATTTATTCAATCAATAAATATTGTACAAATGCATTATTTCTCCTTTCAATACAGTAAAAATGATAAATATAACCCATACAAACAAAAGTTATTTTGGGCTCTTCAATAATGTTTAAATATGGGAAGGAGTTTGGAGAGCAAAACATTTAAAATATACTTCTCTATTGGATCCTGAATGGAGTAATGGGCTGGACTAGTTGACTACAATGTTTATTTCCAACTCAATGATTTTATGATATTTCTGCAACTATACAAGTGGAAGGATTAAAATCAGTTCCTAAAACACTAAAATCCCATCCATATTTTAACATAGAATGTGTTCTCACCAAGCATGCTAATTTCAGGTAGTTTTCAGCTTATGATCACAATTGGGATCAGAATTTCCATTGCTAGCAAGGCAGCTGTTAAGTGAGTTATACCTGATTTTATGACTTTTTTGCCATGGTTGTTAAATGAATCAAGCAGTTATTAAGAGAATCCAGCTTCCTCTTTGACTTGGTCTGTTGGAAGCCAGTTGAGAAGGTCACAAATGATGACCTTGGGATACTGCCTGGATTTTGATCATGAGGATTCTGTGACAATCGTACATCACTTTTTTCAGTGCTATTGAACCTTTGAACAGTCATTAAATAATGGTTATAAATCAAAGACTACCTGTACTAGGATGTAATCTCATTTAAGATGTTGTCAGAATAAGGATAAGCATAACCGTCTCTAAAACAGGGGTCTCCAACCTTGGCACCTATAAGTGGACTTCAACTCACAGAGTCTCTCTCCCAGAGCTGAAGTCCACAAGTCTTGAAGTTGCCAAGGTTGCAGACCCCTGCTCTAAAACATAGGTATGTTACAAGTAACCAGTCCATTAAACTCTTTTAGTGTAACTTGCTAGATACAGGAATTTTAGTCATCAGGGATAGGTTGTTGCTCTCAAAAGAAGATGGGTATAGTTAACTTGAAAATTAGGCAAACTCATCAAATCTAGAATATAAGTGGAGAAAGTCTCCTTAATGTAGTTCGACCCCCTGACCATGCTACCACATCTTCCATTAAAACACCTCCAGTAAAGAAGAACCCATCAGGTTCCAAAGCTATTTCTTTGTTGAAGATATGTTGCCATTAGAAAATTTTTCCTGATGTCCATCTAAAATCTGCTTCTTTGCCATTTACAGTATACCTACTGCATCTTGTTTTCTGGTGTAGCTTTGCACAATTCTATTCTGTTTTCTACACATCTTTCATATATTGGAACAGAGCTATCATTTCTCCTCAACCATCTCTAGGTGACACATACCTAACACATCCAATCCTTCCTCATAGGTTTTTTTCTTTCAGGACTGTTATCATTTTTCTTCCAGTTTGTCAATGTCCTTCCTTCATGCAATGCCCAAGAAACATATGGTATATTGTAGGTGCAATCTGATCAAAGTAAAATAGGCACCCAAATGACTCTTAATCAGGACACAATGCTTTGTTAATACATTTGTAGTTGGTCACTATGAGAAAAGTAGATAAGATTTGGCATGATTTACTCTCCTGCCCAGCAATGCATTTTTTTAAAATGCTCACAAATAATCTGTTCCAGAGTTTTGCCCAGTGTCAACACCAAACTGCCTAGTACTCACCTCGATCCTGTCCTCCCCCCCCCCCCCCCCCGATTTTGAAGGTGAAAAGAACATATGTGCCTCTGCAATGCTTCAGAAAAAAAGGGTCATATTCATCTTACCTTGAAGTGAATATATTTCAGAAGGTCAAAGTGTTTTGCATACATCCGGAAATAGTCCATTATCTTTGAATTGTGCATGTAGTTGGGAAAATCATCTGGGATGGGGAAGTCACTGAAGCACATCATCTCTTTGGAGGTGTTGATGATCACAGATTTGTAAATACTAGCCCGGTCTTCCTCAGGATTGTCCTGCAACAAATAAAAAATTAGTTTTTGTTATTGCTGTGTCTGAGATGATTTTAAGGTTTAAGATCCTCAAATAAAAGTACCAAGTTTCAATATCAATATAAGAGCACAGAAAGAGGTACATATGCAGCTCTAAACCTAAATTCATCATGCCCTATGTATCCAGCCCTCTTATGCACAGAAAATCATCTGCCTATTCTGTAAGCTGCACTTCAGAATGGTTTTCACGGAAAGCTGTAAATTTTGACAAAATTAGCTGCATCTTTTCCTTCTCTTCATTCTGACACGCATATTTCTATGATTTTCAGAATGCTTTTGAGGTAAAAATATATTTTTCATATTTCTAACTACAGTATGATAAATGTAGACCAAGTGTCTACATAAAACAGTGCTGAAGGTTGAGAAAATTGACAACAATCCCTTGGAAGTAAAGCTTCAATGTTATGGAGCATTTGCACTTACCTTGAACCTCCAGAGTCCCCCAATATCATCACTGCTTTCAAAGCATACAGGCTCCAGACCTTCTTCCAAGCAGCATTTGACATTACAGAGTCCACTGGAACCAGCTCCAATAATTGCCACTCTTTTCTTTCCCATCTTCTGTTTCCCAAAAGCAGATGTGTTAGGACCAATTTATTTATTTCTATGTATTTTATAATAATAACACCTGAAAAAATAAATAATCCAATATCTTTGGAAATAACAGGGAAAGGATCATGAATCCAACCAATAGTTGCCATTTTCTATCACTTCTTTAGATGGCTGCCAACCTCAATTTCATCTGCATATCTCCCAGCCCATTGTCCTTCCAAGACTCTCAGTTCCTCCAATGGTTTCAGAATGATTAGCACTTCCTTAAATTAAATCATGCTCAGGCCTCCCACAAGCATCTCCATAGTGATTGAAGATCATGAATGGCTGTCCCCTCCACATGACCATCTAAGAAGCTGGATGCCGAGTTTATTGAACTATTCCCAGAACTACTGAGTGTAAGACTTAAAAATGGATGAGGTTTTAGAAAACTGAGGAAGGGCAACTTAATCCCAATATTCAAAAAGGGAGCAGCGTGGACATGGAAAACTACTACATCATCTGCATTGGGAAAGATAATAGCAGTATCAAGCAGCATGTCTGCAAGCACATAAGAAAGAAATTTATAATGAATGACCATATTGGTAAAAAACAAAAATAGCAAGCTAATTTCATATATTTAAGAGGCAGAAACTAATTTAGTAGGCAAGGCCATAGATGTAGGTTACGTTGATCTCAGTAAAAATAAAGACTTTTGCAATGTCTCTCATAGTGTCCCACATTTATGGATAAATGTGGTCTTGGCAATACTGTGGCCTTGGAGGGTCTGCATGTGGTTAAGTAACTACATACAAAGACAGCTCATAAAAGGTTTTCCATCATCCTGGATGAAAGTCCTTCCATTCTTGACCCAGACCCACAGTATCTTTGTAAATGGCCTGAAGACTGGAATGGGAAGAATGCAAGTAACAACTATCTAAGGGATTGGTTAATATCTTCCAAGAAAATAATTGCAATTCAAAAAGATTGGCATAAGCTTGAACATTGGACTTTCAAAATTGAACATTGAAAAAGATGTGCAAGTGTATTTCACAGACAAAAGCCTGGAAAAGCACCAGGCCAAAACAGAATAGCTCTCTCTTGCTTGAAAGTCTGTCCTGATCAACTGGCCCCCATGTTCACCCCGATCTTTAATAAATTACTAGAGATGTGTTATGTCCCTTCTTGCTTCAACTGCTCTACTATCATGCCGGTGCCCAAGAAACCCTCCAATAAAGAACTCAATGACTACAGACCAGTTGCTTTAATATCAGTACTTATGAAAACCTTTGAAAGGTTAGTGCTGGCCCACCTGAAAGCCATAATGGAGCAGGAACCTGCCCAACCTACTCCCTGCCTCACCAGCCAGCAAGCACAAACCCTCACTGCCCTTCTCCTCCTCCTCCCTGGTCAAGCAAAAGTGGGCTCCATGAGACAATGGGTCTCATTCATCCCCCCAATGTGGTGAGCTCTGGTGGGCTGGATGTGGGTGTGAGGGCTTTGTTCAGTTGAAGGCTTTGTTCCTGCCCTCAAACGGTAAGGCCGGCACATGCGAGCGAGAAGCCCACTTGGGCCACAGACGGAATTGGTTCCTATGCCTGTGCCTTAGTTCCGACCTATGTGGCTGCCTTGAGCCAGTGAGAGATGTCCTGCAGCCTCGGCCCTGTCCCCTGGGCATGCACCCAGGAGGTGGCGAGTGTGCAAGCACTGGCATCTTGGGTTAAAGAGAAGCGCTCAGAATTTAGTTAGCCTGTGGGGCAAGACGATCCCTGGGGCTAGGCCCCACGTGCACTCACCACGTCCTGGGTGCAAGCAAGGGGGCGGGATGGGGGCAGCCTCCTGCTGGCTCCAGAGTGGTGCTGCATACCAGCTTGAATGGCCACTGTCACATTGCAGATCGGTTCCTGGTCGGCCTGGGCCAGGCTGCTGCAAACCAGTCCTTTCCTATTCCCAGGACAGCCCTGCAGGCCAGATCTAACCACCTTGCAGGTGGGATCCGGCCCGCGGGCCTTGAGTTTGACACCCCTGCTCTAGGATGATAATTAGTAGGAAAATGAAGCCTTAACCAAAAACAATGAAAGTAGCAGTTATGTTCCCTTTGCAAAGAGTGAGAAGATATATAGCAGTGTATAAATATCTGACTGTTCTGTGTAATGGGATAGATCTGTTATTTTTCCC